CATTAGATGTTTTAAAGCTATATAATTTACTGCTATGTATAGGTTACTGATCGATGAGAATTCAAAATAATTATAAATCTGGCAGATCTGTGTTTTTGGTAGTTAGAAATTGTAATGCCTTTACTAAACAGACAAAATCTGAGCTGTTCAGGGCACCTTCAAAGGAATAAACATTAAAAAAGAAACAAAAATATGCTATGTGATAATTAGACAAATCTAGAAAGTAGAAAATCCCATATATGACTCGAGAAAAAACATGCATTGCTTTTTGCAAAAATGCCTACTTAACCCTCAGAATATTTATTATGTATTATGGTAAATGAGGCAATCCAGTAGATTCTACAAGTTATTGAATGAAAATGTTTGATATATTAAAATACGCATCTTACAATGCTTTACGTAAGCGTTCATACCCTTAGATTTTTTTTGCAGTGTAACAATCTAAAATTCAAATTTTGAAAATTCAAATTCAAATTTCATGTCATGAAACTAATCAATATTGTCAATTGTGGAAGAAAAATCAAAATGTTTTTCAAAATTAAAAGCATTCACCCTCTTGGCAGCTAAACTGGTGATATAAGCTGTAGGGCAAGTAACTAACTTTAAAGGTCGCATTATTACTGAGTCCACCTGTGTGACTTAGGTATGAACAAATATACTTAGGTTTTTTTAGAGAATGTATTTAAACGAACAGAACTATGGAGACCAAGGACTCATCACAATAAGTCAAGAATATTTTCTTGAGAAGCAAAAGTCAAGGTTGAGTTTTTTAAAGAAATTCTTGGCTTTTCAGCAAAGGTATTAAATATGCTTCTCCTTAGACACTTTCTGCCTACTTTTGCTCTGTTCCAGGGTTTTTGCCATCATCAGATTCTTCAACTATTGAGACTTCCGGTAGAACTACACACTAAGGTTCCACCCTTTCATGGTCACCCTTATATTATTTGAAGGATAGAATCATAACAAGGTGGACACAAACAACTGACACTCCAAGAATTTTCAAATACTGAAGAGTCTTATGGAGGCAGCTGCACTGAGGTGTCATGAAAGTAGAAGGCACAGGCAGGACATTTTAGTTTAATACCTCTTCTTTTGATTGAATGTTTGGATTTGGACATTTTTAGGCAACTGTTTGAGCTACCTAAAACCATTGTCTATCCCCATCTGGTAATCAATAACATATATAATGCAATCCTTCTCAGCATATAACAGGTAAGTGCAAAACACTATATCAAAAATGTCCCACACCATATAATGGATAATAAAGTACTTTCATAGTGCTTGGTGTTGTATCTTCTTCCTATTTGGTTATATCCGTGCTCTAGCATGTGTGCCACTCCAATGCACTCTCCACAGATCCATGACCCCTTATTTAAAAGTAAGGTCTTATGTGTTTGTTATCCCAGAGTCTTGGTTCAGCTCACTACTGGTAGCTTTCTTCACTATTGGTCTCTTCCTCAAAAGTGTCAGCTCCCCCTCAGTAAAGAATCCGTGTGTACCAGAAAAGAAACAATCTCATGGTGTAGTATTTATTGTACATTTTAAAATAACAAAAGGTGTGTGAATGGACACACAGAACAGAGGGTGCCCCCATAGCAAGCTGCGCGACAGGAGGGAAGGACCAGGAGAGCCTCTGGGGGACCCGAGAAGAGGAAAATCCAGGCTGCTCTGTGCAAAACCACTGAACACAGCAGGTAAGTATAGGCATGTTTGTTGATTTAGAAACAAAAAATTAACCTTTATAATCTTTTTAATGAATTTTATGTGTTAAAGTAAAAAACCTTCTGTGCCGCAGGATCCCTCCAGCCCCTTTATACTTATCTGAGCCCAATTTTGATCCAGCGATGTGCACAAGAGCAGAAGCTCTCTCCGCTGTCTCCCTCCTCACTGGGCAGACCGATAGCAGTAGAAGCCATTGGCTTCCTCTACTGTCAATCAAATGGTGTGATGAGGGAGTGGGGGTCAGGGTCTAACTGCCCGGTCTGTGTCAATGGATGCAGACAAGGCGGCTCAGGAGCAAGCCCACATGAGTGCCCCCATAAAAAGTGTCTTTCTATGAAGGGCATTCACTGAAGAGGAGAAGCCATGACTGCCAGCAGGAGACCCCAGAAGTTGAGGATTGGGGCTGCTCTGTGCAAAACCATTGCACAGAATAGATTAGTATAATACGTTTATTATTTTAATAAAAAAAGGAAACATTAATGTGACTTTAAAGCAATACAATTCAAGGTTTGCTTATTCTATATTGGCCCACTTCCATTAATTTTGCACAGATATACAGGGAACCCAAAATACAAAAAAGCACATTTTGGCATTTTAGAGTGATGTTAAGCCCTAAAGCAAACATTTGTTATATTGCAGCTTTCCTTTTCCTAGATGTGATGGCTGCATTTGTTTTCTTTTTTAGACTTTTATTTTCATTTTCATCTGGTGATCCAGCCAGTAAGTCTGTTGTTTTTCAAAAGAGCAGGTTCTCCAGCAGAATGTATCAGAGATGAGACAAACTACTTACCACTGGCATGAATGTTTACAATGATCAGCCTTTGTATATTTTTGTAAAACATTTATCCCAACAGGAATAAAAAACTGTTGCTGTAACTCAGCGGTTCTCAACCTGGGGGTCGAACCCCATTGGGGGTCGAACGACACTTTCCCAGGGGTCGCCTAAGACCATCGGAAAACACATATTTCCGATGGCCTTAGGAACCGAGACACCGCTCCTTGATCCGTCTCCAGGTGTGGCCGGGATGACATGCCGTCCCTGTCATCTGGACACACCCCCGGATCAATCCTTCCTCGTCGGTGATTGGCCGCCGGAACTGTAGCTCAGGAGAGGCACACAGGCGGCCAATCACCGGCGAGGAGGTGGAGCTTGGAAAGGAGGAGCCGAGCGGCACCGCGAAGATCGAGCGAGTGAAGAGGAGGAGAGCGGCCGGAGAAGGAAGACATCTGACCGGTAAGTGTCTGTACCATGGGAGAGGGAGGGAGCGAGCGAGCCCAGGCTGGAGCAGGGGTCAGCAAGGTAAGTATCATTGGTGTCAGTGGGAGGAATAGTGCACCAATGATGGGGCACTATTCCCCCCACTGACCCCCACTGACACCTATGATGATGGGGCACTATTCCTACCACTGACACCAATGATGGGGCACTATTCCTACCACTGATACCAATGATGGGGCACTATTCCTCCCATTGACATCAGTGATGGGACACTATTCCTCCCACTGACACCAATGATGTGGCACTACTCCTCCCACTGCAAAATTACAGTTATGCAGTAGCAACGAAAATAATTTTATGGTTGGGGGTCACCACAACATGAGGAACTGTATTAAGGGGTCGCGGCATTAGAAAGGTTGAGAACCACTGCTGTAACTGATTATTATTATTTATTATTATACAGGACTTATATAGCGCCAACAGTTTGCTCAGCGCTTTACAATATAATGGGAGACAATACAGCAACAATACAGTTCAATACAAGAGGAAAAGGAGGGCCCTGCTCCTTGGAGCTTACAATCTAGGAGGGAGGGGCTAGTGGTACAAAAGGTAGTAACTGTGGGGGATGGACTGGTTGGAAGAGTAGAAGATTCCATTATTAGCTGAGGGCAGGATAGGCTTCCCTGAAGAGATAGATTTATATTATATTGATTATAAAGCATTAGCTGGGGTTTGGCTTCTATTTGTTAATATATTTACATCTGCTAGTATATCTAACACTCCAGGGGCGGACTGACCATTCGAGCACTCGGGCAGTGCCCGAGGGCCCGGGGTCAGTAGGGGGCCCCATGAGATGCCCCTGGTACCTTTCATTGGCTTTTTCGGGTGTGGGCAAGGACACAGGGGCCCCATGATCCCTTATTGCCCGGGGGCCCCATGAGTTGTCAGTCCGCCCCTGTAACACTCCTTTCCCCCTAGACTGACAATGCTGCTGTCCAAAGGTCCCCCTGTGCTCCTTCATCCTGAGTGGAGGAGCTCTACTACAGGAGGTTTGTTCTTGAACAGATCACCAGGTGAAAACAAAACAAAAAAAAGCCTACAAAAAGAAAAATGATACAGCCACCACATCTGATGACTGGTAAGCTGCAGTATATTATATTTTTGTTTTTGTGTTTAATACCACTTTAAACTCATTGCCTTCACAAGAAGGATTATACAATAACCTTAAATCACATTATTATTACTTTTTAATGGAATAGTGTTCTTTGTTAGTGTAATAGAAACATTTAATTTTTCCATCACAGCTGTAATAGGAAACATATTCTGATTTTGTTGGGATAAGTTATATTTAATACTTTCTCCTTATAACTGTTGTTAATGAAAATTGCATGAATAGTGATCTGCTCAGACTAGGACAAAAGGTTTTTCTACGAAAAATAAGAAATTGTCACAAAGAATTTGGAAGGCAAGAAAAGCATTGCTAATTTCCTTTTTTCTCAGGGCTCTCTTTTGTTATTCGCTCAGCCAATCAACGGGTCCCAGCCACAAATCATTGGCCGGGACAGGGGCGGACTGACAACTCATGGGGCCCCCGGGCATTAGGGGATCATGGGGCCCCTGTGTCCTTGCCCAAACTCAAAAAAGCCTATGAAAAAGGTACCAGGGGCATCTCATGGGGCCCCCTACTGACCCCAGGCCCTCGTTCAGTGCCGAGTTTCCAAATGGTCAGTCCGCCCCTGGGCCGCGATCTGCTGTTCGGGTTGTTCTGTAGCGAATGACAGCACAGCCGGATGAGCAGATACACGTGCTTGTCTTCTACCAGGAAATGACGACTCATACACATGTACATAATCAGGCACAGCAGGGCCGCTCCACTGCAGTAGATCTGCAGTAGGCGGTATAACCGTTTCCCGACTGCCCTATAGCAGAAGTACTGCTACAGGGCGGCAGGGATGCGCAAAATCACAAATATTTACGTGATTTTGTTTTTCCAGGAAGGGGGTGTGTGCGTGTGCTCCCTACCCATAGCGCTATTGGCTCCTCGGCATGGCAATCACCAATTCTCGGCTGGGACTTGGTGACTATAGCTGGAGCTGACAGGGGAGAGGTCTGTATGTAAACAACACAGGTTTCTCCCCTGTCAGCATGAGCAGGCACCCTTGTATTGCTCTGCACAGCAGATCAATACAAAGCAGCTTGTCCCCTAGTAAATCACACCCAGCACACTATGTAAAATACATGCAGCACACAGTTAACCCTTTGATTTCCCCAGATATTAACCCCTTCCTGCCCAGTGTCATTAGTACAGTGTCAGTGCTTTTTTATTAGCACTGATCACTGTATTAGTGTCACTGGGGATGTCAGTGGCAGTTAGTCAGTTCCCCCCAGTGTCAGAATTCCCACCGCTGTCCCGCAGTCCTGCAATAAGTTGCTGACCACCGCCATTACCTGTAAAAAAAAAAAAAAAATTCCAGTATATCTACTGCCATTTGTAGATGGTATAACTTTCATGTAAACCAATTAATTTACATGTATTGGGATATTTTTTTAGCAAAGACGTAGCAGAATACATTTTTGCCTAAATTTATGAAGAAATTTTATTTTTAACATTTTTTACTGGATATGTATTATAGCAAAAAGTCAAAAATATTGTTGTTTGTTCAAAATTGTCGGTCTTTTTGAGTTTATAGTGCAAAAAAAATTAAAATGCAGAGGTAATCAAATACCACTGAAAGAAAGCTCTATTTGTGGGGAAAAAAATACATAAATTTCATTTATGTACAACATTGCATGACTGCGCAATTGTCAGTTAAAGTAATGCATCGCTGTATCGCAAAAAATGGCCTGGTCAGGAAGGGGGGTAAATCCTCTGGAGGGCATGTGGTTAAGAGCTAAAGGCTGGTACACATGGGCCAAATATTGTCCACTCTCTGTTGAAACATTCGGTCTGCGTGTACAGCAGCCTATCCGACAAAAGCTGGTCTAACGACAGGTTTTTATTGAACTGTCTTTCTGGAAAACCAGCATCCGATCAGAGCTTGCAGCCAATGGCTGTGAACGTTGATCAGTGTGTTCTGGTCAGAGGAACACAATAGCACAGCTGGGGGAGTTCGCTGCACTAACACTTAGTTGGTACGGCAACCTCTCAGGTTTTTTTTTTCATTCAGCCCACTGGGTTCAAGGAAAAAAAAAAAACTCCCCTAATGTGTACCCCGCAAAAGTGAAGTATGAAGCTTTTAATGTCTGAAGTGGTAATTCCCATCAGACTTAATATCAAAGGTATAAAGCAGCTGACATAATTTGCTGACCACAAATTAAAAATACCAATCCATTAAAATATGTAGCTCTAACCATACTGTATATAAATAAAAACGCATACAAATTAACATCAGTGGATAAAATCATTTTATCCGTTCAGATAGGCTCATTTTTTCTGCATTTTCTTTGGGACTATTTGAATGAACATAATCTTTTTATGTTAATTTTGTATGTGTTTTTATTCATATATAGTTAGTGATGCATATGTTTATGGAATGGAGCTTTTAATGTCCTGCAGTGTGTTGTCTGCATAATGCATGGATGGAGAACAATGAAACAGGTCATGTGACTGGATTTCTCCTCCTCCTGTCAATGCACCATTTATTCATTAGATTAGATTCATTAGACTGAATAGGGCTTTGATTGCTTCAGAGTCCTAAAGCACATGAAGCACAAAACATATTTATGAAGCTTGCACCTGTGCTTCATAAATGGAGGCAAGTTTAATAAAAAAAAAGCAATGGTAGGCCATACCGCTGCTTTTCCAATTGGCCCCCTACTGTTCCATTTTTACATTCATGTGTACTGTGCATTGTACGTAGACATAATTTGATTGTCCACAATCAACATTCCACTTCATGAAGAATATATCCTATATTTACCCTTGTCCTTGCATCTGCATCTGAAAAGTAAACAGGAAATTTAACCTGTCTTCAAAAACAAAGGCATGTTCTTCATTCAGTAGCTACTAGTCTAAAGGGCATGGACATACATTCTCCTAAAAGTGGTAGTAAAACCTACCTTGTTTATAGTGCCTTGAAAAACTATCCACACCCCTTGATATTGAAAATGATAAATGGCTTTCAACGTTTTTTTGCCAATAAATATCTGAAAAGTGTGGCATGCATTTGTATTCAGACCATTTTACTTTGATACCCTAACTAAAATCTAGTGGAACCAATTGCCTTCAGAAGTCACCTAATTAGTAAATAAAGTCCACCTGTGTGTAATTTATTCTCAGAATAAATACAGCTGTTCTGTAAAGCTCTCAGAGGTTTGCTAAAGAACATTAGCAAACAAACAGCATCATGAAGGAACACACCAGACAGGTCAGAGATAAAGTTGTGGAGAAGTTTAAAGCAGGGTTAGGTTATAAAAAAAAATGTGAACATCTCACAGAGTGCTGTTCAATCCATCTGAAAATGGAAAGAGTATGGCACAACTGCAAACCTAAGACATGGCCATCCACCTAAACTGACAGGCTGGGCAAGAGCATTAATCAAAGAAGCAGCCAAGAGGCCCATGGTAACTCTGGAGGAGCTGCAGAGCTCACGTGGGAGAATCAGTCCACAGGACAACTATTAGTCGTACACTCCACAAATCTGGCCTTTATGAAAGAGTGAATATTCAGATATTTATTTGTAAAAAAATGTGAAAACCATAAAATGTGAAAAATTTCAAGGGGTATGAATTTTTTTTTCAAGGCCTAAGCATAAAAAAAGGCTTACCTGTAGGTACAGTAAATATCTCCTAAACATGCACCATTTAGGAGATATTTACTAAAGTAGCATCCAGTGATGTCACCAGAGCAAGCACACTATGCTCACAATGAACAGTGTGCCGTCCATTGAGAGGGATGTGCCGCAGCCGTGACTCTTCCATGCATGCGTGGGAGTGACGTCATTGTGGCTGGACCAGTCAAACAGCTGAAGCCCAAAAACCTTGAAGGAAGAGCAGGTGAAAATGGAAGCCCTGTCAGGACTTCGTTCTAAGGTAAGTCTTTCATAATGTGCCAGTATGCACACAGAACACACATTCTCCTTAACGTGGTAGTAAAGCCTACCTTGTTTACTTGTACCTATAGGAACATGCACCATTTAGGAGATATTTACTATAGTAGCAGTCGGAGATGTCACCAGTGCTTGCACACTGCGCTCTCAATGGCCGGGGTGCGCCATCCATTGGCTGTGACTCCCGCATGCATGCAAGAGAGTGATATCATCGTGTCTCGGCCAGTCAAACAGCTGAAGCCGGTGAACCTGTAAGGAAGACAAGGTGAAGATGGAAGCCCTGTCAGGGTTTTGTTCTAAGGTAAGTCTTCTATAATGTGCTAGTATGCACTGCATACTTGTACATTATGCTATTATTTTGCAGGGGATAATTTTTTAAAATTTTTTCTGCAGTTTACTACTGTTTTAAGTGCTGAGGAAACCCCTGAAAGGTGGTGTTAAGAACAGACAAAGGACTGTTAATGCAGTCCAATACAGTGCTTGTCTCCCAACAACACCCTTTACTGGCAGCAACTTCCTCATCACCAAATCAGCAAGCACTTGGGCAATTGAAGACATCTGTGCAAGGCAAGTACCACTTTCTTTGAAAGAGATATATCATTTCCTTTTTACATACAGTAACTTATATACAAGGGGAAATACAGCATGTATGAGAAGGTTCTCATTTTTCCAGGTCATGGTATATTTAGTAGTAGTCAGCCAGATTCATCTGGACTTTGTTCTGCAATGTTTAAGCTGTTTCAAAGCTTTTCCATTTTTCAGTGACTTGGACAAGCTTCGAAATGTCTTCAACATTACAGAACAAATTCAATTGAATGTGACTACCAACTACTAGATGCAAAGGATCAGCCCTGAAATTCAATTATCCAATAAAGTGATATTTTACCTTTACACTGCAAAATCATATATTCCTGCCATGTGTATACATTTTGTTAAAGTGGTATCAAACCCAAAACTAAAAATGTATTATATTGCAACTTACCAGTTATTAAAAATTATGAGTTTTTTTCTTTTAATTTTACCTAGTGACTACCGTATTTTCCGGCGTATAAGGCGACTGGGTGTATAAGACGACCCCCTAATTTTCCAGTTAAAACATAGGTTTTGGGCTATACTCGCCGTATAAGACTACCCCCCTTCCGAGGCAACACCATTTAAAAACATCAGATTTTTTAATTGAAATGGTTATGACTTACCAGTACTTAAAATCCTTCAAAATCCTCATGTTCATCCTCTGACAACATAAGTTCATGAATGACATCTTGTGATACATTTGTAAGTCAGTCATCATATGGATCAAATTCCAAATCAGATGGTTACCGCTGGATGTGCGGTAATACGGTAGCTTCGGCTACATACAGTATACAGTATATATACAGCCCGCTGGATGTGCAGTAATGTACATACAGTATGCAGCGCTGAGCCAAGCTGGCTCCAAACAAATGTCCCTATGACAGATTAATCTGTCAGCCCGCTGGATGTGTGGTATATACAGTATACTGAGCCAAGCTGTTTCAAAACGTACCGGTACGTCCCTACGGTAATCAGACCGCTGGATGTGTGTATGTATAGTAGTTGAGGCTACATACAGTATATGCTGGGCCAATCACGGTGAGCAATGTATTCTACTAATGAATACAAAGCCTGCTCGGATTGGCTGAGGTTGTGACATCATCAGCCCACCTCTCTGACTCAGCCAATCCGAGCAGGCTTTGTATTCATTAGTAGAATACATTGCTCGCCGTGATTGGCCCAGTGTATACTGTATGTAGCCGCAGCTACTGTACATACATGCATCCAGTGGTCTGATTACCGTAGGGACGTACTGGTACGTTTTGAAACCGCTTGGCTCAGCGCAGTATACTGTATATACCGCACATCCAGCGGGCTGACAGATTAATCTGTCATAGGGACACTTGTTTTGAGCCAGCTTGGCTCAGCGCGGTATACAGTATGTACATTACCACACATCCAGCCAGCTTGACCCAAACAAACTCAAGGTTCACTTTGTATACCCCGTGTATAAGACGACCCCCAATTTTTGGGGCATATTTTTAAGTATAAAAGTAGTCTTACACGCCAGAAAATACTGTATTTTAAATCTTTATGCTGCTAGCATAAATAAATAAATATATTGTATGAACTTGTTTTAATTTTTTTTTTTAATTTTTACATTTCGTCAGTTACTTCTTGGTTTCCAGGCCTAGGCAAATGATGCCATACATCCCAGGAGCCTTCAGGAGGGAAGGAGGGATATTCTTAGCTAAGCGCACCCTCCTGCCTGCATGCCTGAGCTATTGGCAGATGGATTCCAGGAAGTAAATGCTACATGAATCATCTGCCCTTACTCAAGATGGCTATGGCC